CTTTTTTTTTTTTTTTTTTTTTTTTTTTTTTTTTTTTTTCCTTTTTTTTCTTTGCTTTAATGAAGTGTGTATGCCTCCTCAATGAGCAAATATTTAAGAAAAAACGTGTGGAGGGTCGTGTGTGTGGTTGAAAACTTGTTTGTCTTTCCTCTAAATTACACAAAAACTATTAATACTGAAAAATAACATTTCAAGATGTTATTCAAAACATTTTATAAAGAACATAGTATCTAACTTAATTGAGTTGTTGTAGACAAAGTTCAAGAATGTGTAACCTCAACAATTTGGAAATCAGACCTGTCCCATTTTTTAATACAAATATTGCACAAACGAAACTCGTGAATGTTTAAATATCAATAAACTGCAAAGACTGGGAAAAAGTATCGCCCATGTACATGGAACATTTCTGTACGCAATTATATTTGCATTTCTATTCTCGGCAGCCTCCCTGAATTTTAGGGCTGTACAGCTCGATATTTTTGAATGGGCCTGCAAAGAGAGAATTTCAAAATGAATGTAGCATGCTATTAAATGAAATGTAACAATAATTGGTATTCATTTTCATGTTACATGATGCGGATTCGACAAGGTTTCCCAGAATCTTTTTTATGCCCGGAGAATGCAAATCTGTGTTTTGAACAGTTAAAGCAACAGAAACCATCTGCATGTGCAAGACTGATAGAAAATCTGGCAGCACACAAGGGAATATTCTTAGGTGTTCTGATGAATTACTATCTACAATTTAGACTGCAAAACTTTCAGAGGCCTATAATGTTAATGCATGGAAGAAAGATAAAAAAGAAAGAAACAATACATGTGAAGATGAGGGTAGTGACCAAAACCATTATTGATTGTAAGGAAGAAGAAAATTATTTCACTAATAAGTCTCAACATTCACATCAACAATGCAATTTTCTAGTCGACAAGAAATTTTGCAATTTTATTTTGACTAAATAGTAAGAATTAGTTAAAAATTAAAAATTCTCAGGAGGCCTCTTCTAAATCTATGGGGTATCTTCTATCAGGTAAATATGGTATTCCCAAAAATTGTAATATTAGTTTCAAATTTGAGGGTAAAGTTCAGGCAGGTCAATTGGGAAATGCAATTTTGGTATAGTCCGGGTCCCAGTTTTCCG